GGGGGAATGGATGGGCTTTATTCTTTCTTTCCTTTCTCTGGCACTTGGAACTCTGATGGAAGATGTGCTTGCACATGCCACTATGTACCAGGATGGTTGTCCACCACCTTTATGCTTCCCAAATTTGGTCAACGTATGGGAGAATGCACGGTAGTGAAAGGAGTGCTTTAATCTTTGCTTCCTTTGGCTCTGGTGGCCCAAGAGAAGTAGATAGTATATATGTTGTGGAATTTCTCTGCCACTTTCTGAATCTTTCTTTATGCCAGAGGTTGGCAGCAGGACTAGCTACAGATGGAAACCATCGTTCTCAAGGTCTTGGCTCCTTTGGAAGGGAACAAGCCACTTCAAGTCTTCTCCCTTGCCAAAACTGTCTAGACTGATTCTACAAGAACTGCAAATCGGACCAGGTCCCTTGCTCTTACCTCTCATCAACTAAATGCTTTTTTTTCTAAGCAAACAAGCCATAACTTTCCTTCAGGAGAAGAACACACCCATAATAACTCCTTGGAGGGACAGTGCCTGGATGCACGCTGCTCTCTCCTCAAGCCACGCTCGAGGGCTCTGAGCAATATCAAAGCACATGAAGAGCAGCTTTTGCACTCACTCAGCAAGTAAACTCTGTGGTCATTTAGTTAGCACCTAGTTTTTTAAAACCATTATTTCTCACTGTTCAATTAAAGAGGAGCGCAGCCATGCACGCTGCTTGGTGGCTAGATGCTCCGTCACAGCGGGCTTGGCAGACACGGCAGCTCAGCATCCTCAAAGCCGATTAAAGCCCAGCACCAGGAAGCCACTGTCTCCGTGCTGCGGCAACCAGAAAGGCAGGCAAGAGCCTGTGCTTGTTAAAAAATAATGTCAAGCACAGAATGAAACCCCAAAAGGCAACAACAGGAGTGTCTGGGCTTAAGCAGACAGAAAAGTGCTCTAAATAATTCCTGTCCCTCCTGTTTCTCCAAGGAGGGAGCATGCATCCGACAGGACCATGCCATCAGCACGAACTCAACTCAGCAAACTCCTGCTCGCCATCTGTGTGCTGCAGCTGTAAATCACAGAATCACAGAATGGTTGGGGTTGGAAGGGACCTCTGTGGGTCATCTAGTCCAACCCCCTGCCCAAGCAGGGTCACCTACAGTAGGCTGAATAGAGGGGTGGGGGAGAGCTAGGCAATGATCTTCATGAAAGGCATAAAGATAACACACATATAAATGCACTGTTTCTTACAGGTTTTCAATTCACTTCTTAAATTAATCAGTTTTGTTCTTAAAATCTCTATTTTAACGGTTACAAACTAAACCCAGAATCCTGCAGGTCCTGCAACAGCTGCTGCTGGCACCCACAGTGAAACAGCTCGTACCTCCAATATAGCCAGTATTACAGACTTAAAAAATTCCTCAGAAAATTCAGCAAGCCTAAACCTGCTCTCAGCTAAAAATTCCCCAAATACTGCCTGCCTTCTGCCTCCAGCAAAGCAGCAATGGGCAGGCTGGGTGAAGAGGAAGCGACGCCTGGGCTCGGACATTTGTCCTTGGTAACACAACAGCAATTTACTGATCACACAATCACAGAATCACAGAATCACAGAATAGTAGGGGCTGGAAGGGACCTCTGTGGGTCATCTAGTCCAACCCTCCTGCCGAAGCAGGGTAACCTACAGCAGGCTGCCCAGGCCCCTGTCCATGCCGTGTCTTCACACTTG